AACCTAAGGGATTCTCACGATCTTGTCTCGACCGAAATTACGATCGCGACCTCTTCGTGACTCCGCATCATGAAAGCTGATTGAATCCCGAAAGGGAACGGCGGAGAATAATCGAAATTAGAATACATCAAATATCCAACAAAAACTGTATACCGACGATTTGCGAGTATCGGGATGATTGCTCGTCGTTCGCCAATTAATTGCGAGAATTTTGCAATAACACGAAAATGCCGTAACGAATGTAAATTGAATTCGGCGTTTTCTGCAACTCTGCGAATTGTATTTTTAATAATTATTATTATGAGATAATACATTAATCGCGTGTGCGCATGGCGTAACTTTTTCTCATTTTTTATCTCTCACGTGCGTTAAAATATTAAAAATTGTCTAATAATTCCGCGAAAGCTCGCGATGCGCGTTTTGTGTTCCACGCACTCTAATTTCCACCAATTGGGAAGCCCTCTGTATGCATATATGTGCGTGCGTGTGTATATGTGTGGGCGCATATTCGAGCCACGGAATTGACGATGAGCGATGAACAATAGTACAACAAAGGGTAATAGATAGCAATGAGGTATTGTTCCGTGTTGCTTTCAACAAGTCCAATTAAAGCACGTCCTTCCGTCAGCTTAAAGTCGGGACACGATGTAGTGTTTTTCCAACGGCGATGAATGGGACACACGCGGGAAATAGTGCATCCTAGATTTCAATAAAGTCTCGTTACTGCCACACGCGCGTGTCCGCTATAAATTACTGCCCTTCCGGAATTCGCTCCACCTATGACGTAGAGCGCACGCGATTGTACATCGCGTAGAATAATTAAAATATAACAAATCAACAATGTGCGCGGCAAAATGTATCGATTCTCGGCCCTTTTCTTTCGCGTTCGAACAATATATCCGCCGATATATACATAGGATTCGACAAAGCACTAGACATGTATAGTACCGTGATGAGCTGACAATGAGATACGTGCCTTACTCTCCTCGCCGTGGCCGATCGATCTTATGGGCGAACGGCTCGAACGTTATCTCTTGAGGGGCAATCTTTTATGTCCCAAAAAATGATACGTTTCCGCGTCTTGATGAGGTTCGAAGAGGCAGAAAATGTGAATCCAGAGTTCGTGGTGTAAACTACGCGCAGTGCGTAACGCGAGACGCGCAACGATGTTTTTCGCGTAAATTCGCGCGAGAGGCAACAGCCAGGCGGACAACGCGTTGCCCTCTCGTGTTGGGATTCTTCTTGGCCCTTGATGTTTTTTTTTTTGAAAAAAAAGAAAAAGGAGAAATTCCCCGGTCGTCGATGTGGCCGCGACGGCGGATCGATACCGGTGCGAAGACGCCGAAGTGAGGGAAAAACAAAATCTAATTAGAAATGCAGGACGGCCGCAGGGCGAGGCCGGGACCGCGCATCCGGCAAGCCGGATGTAATGCGATTACCGGCGACTGAAATTGTATTGCGAAGAATCGAATTTGCGGTCAAACAAAATGGTCAAGTGCGCAACGCTCATCGAACGATCGATGTGCGGAGCAAGCGATGCCGCTCGGCGAAACGAAATGAACAGAGCCATAAACTTCTTCGTCTTACTTCCACGCCAGTGAGATATCGCCGGCTATAGCAAATGATAAACTTGTACTAGAAGTAAGAAGGATGAGCTAGTTGGCGAGGAAGAAGAAGAGAAGAAGGAGGAGGAGAAGGAGAAGGTAGAAAACGACAGAGAATGTTAAAGAAGCTCTCGAACGGTCAATATTTGTCTGCGGTATCTTGTTATTGGCGAGATTATTGAATGTCTCGTAAGAACTACACTCGAGAATTGTCAATAAAGGAAATATCCATTGGATCCGTTGCAATAGCTTCTTCGACTATTGACGGATGCGAATAAGTCGTGACGATGTGTACCTTATTCTTTAATAACGCAGATTAAAACTCAATATACTTCAACCTTCTTATGTCTCGTCACAATCGAAATATCGAACGTCTTACTCTTTGTCTGAAGATATTCCTGAAGATGAATAGATTCCCGCTCTTCCCTAGTCGAAATTTTTATTCTACTTTGTGTATTTTGTGTGTGTTGTGTGGACCAGAATTTTCTAATATCTGTATATTCTGAAAGATTAGTGTATGTATAATATACATGGAAATTGAAATCTTATTTGACGCCTGTAAATGACGAAAAATACACAAAATATCACTTGTAAGTTCTAAAGAGGACTTCTCGGTAAAACAAGTAGATTAAATAGAATCTAAAGAGAGATTAATATAGGTTTTAGAATGTCAAAATAGACATTAAGTAGTCGAAATTAGGATCAAAATTTCGACTCGGCAAATAGATGACTGAGAAAACTGGGAGATAAGTCCCACCGTGGAGTCCGATAACCATTTTTAAGGTTATTGGCAACTTTAAAAAATATCCTTTTACCCGCGCGAGCGAATCGGGAACGCAGTCATGGCAGACAGAGGTGCTATCGTGATTATCGGCTTTGTAGCGCGAGGAAACGCATGTCATGCTTCCTTCAAAGCGATACAAACAGCAATCCTTGCCGTCGCGTCAAAGACACCGTGGAATCATGCTCGACGCGAGCGCGTTCCTACCTGGCTGACTTCTGCCTTGTGCCTCGGATCGTGCGATGAAGTCGAAGAACTCGGGCTTTCACGAGCTTGCAAGCCCGCGTACACGCGAAAGCGCAGAAAACTAGAAAGAAGAAAAAGGGAAAGAAAACAGAACGAGGACGAGAAGGGCGACGCTAGCCCCTAAAAAGGGGTGGGTCAAGTGCGTTTGAACAGACACACGACACTCGACCATCCACCTACCTCCTATCGCCGTCTTTGTCTCTCCCGACGACTTGCGTGCGTCCTCCAGCTCCGTCCTCCTCGCCCTTTGTATCGTTTTACAATAGGACGACGTAAAGATTTTTGTCCCCGTGTCGTTCCGCGAAACGAAGTGCCATTCATTTCCGAGCTGCGCAACACGCTCGCCCGCGGCGCGACACGGAGAGATATATCGGGAGGAGTTCGCAGTGGTGGCGGTGAAGGAGGAAACAGAGGAGGCGATCACGAAAAACTCGCGGAAACATTGTTGCGTGAGTGACAGGTAGCTACCATGAAAGTAGCTCGTTAAGAGTGAATATTTCAGCCGCGCGCTGCAGCGCGCAATTCTTGGCGTAGCGCAGCGTGAGAACTCGGCTGTCACAATATTGACGGCGCGTGTCTTGGGTGCGCAGGGGGGTTAGTTGTCGTAATCGGGAAATTTGATCCACGTCAAAAGTAATAACGGGTAATAATGCGGCGGAGGGTACGTGTCACGGGTACATGACGCAGAAAAGAACATTAATATCCATTTAAAGCTAATATAATGAAATTAACAATCATTGTTTCATGTACATAAGCAATTATATAAAATTCTGTTAAAAGATTCTATAAAGTCTTGGATATTCTATAAAGTTTTGGATTTCAATAATGTTACGATTTTGTTGGAATATTATAATAGTCATACAAGAAGTACAATATGATTTTTTGATAATAATGATATCTTCTCCAAACATTTAAATATTATATTTTCGATGCAATATTTTGTGCTTTCCATTCAGTAAAATCATTTTTGAATAAAGCAAACTGAGGCTAAATATCACGTATTTCAGAATTTTAAAGTTACAATTTCTCAGACAACTAATTTTTGTGACTCACATACAAACATGATATAGGCAGTCTTCTTCTGTATGTTAATGCCAGCCACGATTATACGCTTGCCAAAAGTTTCATTCTAACTAGTAACATGTTAATTTTATTCACTCGTGATAAAAATATTAATACAAAATTTCGAGAGACTCGAAAATTTACTTTGTTTAAGTCAGTTTTTTCTATTTTTCAACAGTGATATTATTACGATTTTAATGAAACTGAGGGAAACGAATATCCATGTTCTAAAAGAACCATTTCACGATTTTCTATCCGCTATTCCTGTCAAGATAAATACTAAAAAAAGCATATGAACAACATATTCCATTCAGATCCGGTCTCTTTTAATAGGAATATATTTTTCTTGGTTGAATCTTATAAAATGTATCGATGCAAGTAACTTCTTTTCATTTGACGCTATGTAATCGCACTTCAAGATATACATCCCAAAAACAAAGATATATTCCAAACGAGAATGCCCCTTTCTTTTGTGTAAAAATACGAAACCGGCACTCGTTAAAAAGGGGAGTTTATTGCGACAGCCTTTGTTGTGGAATTACGATTGGTGAATAAAATCGAATTAAGCGAACGCGGTGACGTAATATTTTGCGTCCCTCGCCGGAACAATCAGAAGCGACCGGGAAAAAAAATGCCGTGACATTCGGACAAGTTTTATATATCGTTGCGCGCGATAAATGTACAATTTAGAATGAAAAGCGTTAATTTAAACAAGAGGTAGGACTCTCACGTGTGAGAGAGATTATACAACAATGGGCTAACGCAATTTTGAGCGGAAGAGGAAAGACCGAGCGTAAATGGCCGCGGTCTTCGTACGAGAAATCACGGCGGCAGCATAAAAATGCAACGCTGGGCGATTTTACGCTTCGCACGGAGATGCTGCATCCTTCCGCACTGCGCGTCTATATATACGGTGTCCCACTGTTACCGGATAATCCATCTTTGTGGATTGCCCTAATGGCGATTTCGCGACGCGTTTTTCGCGCTGGCCGCGTTTCATCGTGAAACGCTAGAGTGCCGATATTATTTTTATTATTGACGACACTCGCGACGCGAGGACTTTGCACTCTTCGCGTCACACGCTCACGCGTTGTTCCCTTCGCGTTTTTACTTAATTACTCCGAAATGTTCTTGCAACTTCTTCTCCAACACACATAAGTCACATAAGTAGAAGTCGGTCTATAACATATGATACTAACCCGATGGGACGGAGACCTCAGGACTTTCTTCCTACCTCTGCTGTTTCTGTCACTCGTGTGTATCTCTGTTTGCGCCGTTACGTAACAAAAATATATAATCGAAATCACCTGATTTTCGGTTGGCAGACATCTCGTATCGAGCGTCGGATCAATCGTAGGAAGATAAGACAAGTCAGGGCTTCAGGAGAATTCGAGGCGAGAAGTGTCTGTCGAAAGATTCCGTGGAACCCGGAATTCCGGTGACGCGCGACTGCGAATTAATACGTCGTATTTGTTAGCTTCATCGGGACTCCGTAGTTTTCCGAGAAACGTTTGTATCCCGTGCTCCGATTGCGATCGCGATCAATTGACGAGGATCAACGCGACTCACGAGCGCCGATCGCAATCGCGACTTTGCTCTGATCGAAGGAGTCGACGGAAAGTCGCGCGTTGGCGCGGGACACCCCGTATACGCGAGAAGCCTCGACATATCTGCGATTTCGAACGTCTCCTAGCATCTCCCACATCCACGCGCATACACTGAGTCGCGTTCGTGCGCGGAGAGCAGCTCTCCTCCTAACCCGAGCCAACGGCTCCTGAAAACGAACTGCTTTTCACCGCTGTGGAAACATTTTTAACCTGGCCAGCGCGCGCGCGCGTACACACTCGCTCGTTTCTCTCTTTAAATCGCTCGGTGCCGCGGCGATACGTTAGCCTGTTCCCCGAGCGGCGGCTTCCGCCACCAGGCTCGTTTCTTTCAGCCACCATTGGGATCAGTCGCCGACGTCGCGGTTACCGATATTCCTCACGGATAATCGTCTTACGATCTTCGCCCGTTCGTCTCTTTCCCGTTGGTCCTCTTTCGATCTCCCTTTCGAGCTCCCTTTCATGCGTTGTTTGTCTCGGGCTAAGGAGGATAGAATAAGTAGGCTAAGCCTCGCTCAGCTCTCACGGCTACGAAAAGGCTGCACCGCGAAATGCATCCTGCCCGATGTGCGTTGTAATACCGGCGAAATAACTCGTTCGAGTGGTGTCACGCGACTAAATCCGAAGAATTTTAGAGTCTCGAAATACAGATCTAAGGTTTTCCTATTTTTCTGTAGTTTAAAGAGCACAGATTGAGATTTTGGATAGATTAATTTGGTGTTTCGGTGATGATCAATCTTGAGAATTTTGAGCTGCGAGCCTTCGTGGGTCTCGAGCTTTCGCGTTGTCGGGATCAGTTGTTGTTGCGATATCGGCGATATAGCTCGCGAGCAATCGCGTTCCACGATACTTGCTCCTTCGTCTCTTTCCGTCCACCTCGACTCTCAGTCCCATTGTTCTTCTCCAACATTCCACCCTTTTCACCCTCTTTCGGATCCTTCGCGAGCCGCAAGTCGTAAAATCGTATTACTGCGCGTTGCGCGGTCGGGAGGGTTATGTATCATTGACATGTTTTACGGCGAGAGCGAGGGGGTTGCTCGTCGGGAGAGCGTGGAGGAAAACATCGGTCGTTGGGCGGCAATAAAGTGCGCTTGGCGGCCTGTATTTGTATTCTCGACAAGCATGCTTCCATTTCCGGTGCCGGCGAAATTGTCTCGCGCGGCCGTTCGAGCCGACCGATCTTGAGACACGATCACGACGACAAAATTCGAGGATTTTTCTTGTGTTTTTGAACGCTCAGCAAATCGCGATACATCAGTGACGTTTCTCGCGATATGTTGAAAACTCAAAGATGAAGAATTCCGGTACAATGTAAATTAGTTCGTTGAAAAGAAAATCCTAAAAAATACCCTCTGTTTTACCCATAATGATCGAAATTACTTAATATTAACATGTTAGGTTAATATGAAAGATTTGTCATCTTTCTATTAAATTCCCACAAAAAATTTAAGTGAAAATGGAAGTTCTCGTTACACGAAGAGAACATTGCAGTTTCCTTTCGTATAAATTCCTTCCGATTTTATTGTGTTTCTAGTGTAGAAATAGGATGTTAATAAGATTTAAGTTCTATCTTGCTGAGGTACACAATAAATTCAACATCTCCGAACATGGACTTTATAATATCAGACTTTATAATATTCGCAACAATTATTTATTCCATGAAATTGGATTATCTCGTCTTTTATATTATCTCGGGAATCCGACAAATGTTTTGCGTCGACCTGATAATTATTAACATAGAACATCCAAATATAGAAACGCGCAAATGAAACGCTTCATTGCTAATTTACGGCGTTTCTTGTTTTTTTTTTCATCCGTGTCAGATAGCAGGGGATGTTTCATCAGATATTCAGTGGGTGTTCATGCACCATTCCGACGGAATAAGTGCGTTAAAACACAAAATGTGTCTCATTAGTCGCGGGATTTATTACCGCCAAATTAACGTCGCCACATCGTAAAATTAATCGAGTTTGTCGAACGCGCTCAGGCATATTAGTGCATGTTACTGACTCGGGTAGTGTTAGTATACCCCGCACGCATTGCGCGATCGCCCATAATTCGCGATCGTAATCGTCCGTGCCTTCCTAGCCGCGCGTACGTACGTTCTAAGCTACGAGCAGTTTAAAAGCGCCGGTTTCATACCGCCGGAGATTATTGCCTCGACCGTCATGTCTTCCTGTAGGAACGCGCGGACTCGGCTGATCATTCCGAGCGGCATTATACGCGATCGTTCAGCTCGTCGCGAGCGACATGCTCCGATCTAAATCGACGGATGGCCGGGCGAGTTAACGGTACGCTTGCCTCGTTCCGATCCAGGTGATTATGAGCGTTTCGCTCGCCTGCACGCTCATCTCGTTACAAACCGCCTGATTACAGTCGACTGCTTTCACTGCGTGGACGCGACGCGTCGCTATCGTGGGTAGTCCTGTGGACACGCCGCCGGAGATAATGCTGAGCATTAGGCAGGATCAGAAACCGACACGTCCACCCCACCAAACTTTGATTTCGCGATTCGTTGTTCTTACACGGGCAACAAAGATATGATTCACACAATCAGAGATGTTTAGTTGACAGCAGCATAGCTAATATTTAACATAAAGGACAATTAGAGTTCAAGCATAGCTGCATCATTCTAGTTATCTTTATGTGATAGTTAAGTATATGGTAGATACGATTCAGTTTTTTGATTCCAGTTTTTTGTATCAACCATGTCGCTGTAGTTACGCGTGATCTGGTTGTGGCAACCAGAAATCGGTTGGCGTGACATTTACCGTGGATACACTCTGGTGGGAGCAACCAGATATCGTCACTGTAACACGGCAATTGTTCTGTGGTGGCAGTAACCCTATATAATTGGTTGTTCCGTATTTTACTATTAAATACTATTAAATCTGTTTGTGGCAAAACCAGATTTATACGTGGACCAACCATACTAATTTCGGGACAAAATTTCTTTTCGTTATTTAAAGTTTTTATCTTCTCGTTCAAAACGTGTTGTAACTTCTAGTATTTACAATTTTTTTTTCACGAAATACGAAGTAGAGCGTAGAGTTATTGGCTGTCTGACTGTTCCTAAAAACCGACACGAATCACATGGAGAGTTAAAGGATGTCTAATATTTCAGTATTTCGTTTCTGCACGCCGCGCGGAGCGCATAAAGAGTTCGCTGAGAGAAAAAATGGTCGACCCAACTAAAATTATAATTATTTTCGGTCTCAAACATATTTTTTGCTTGTTCTAACACGCGAAAATGGTAAATAATAATATGCATATAAAATTATCTATCGCTAACATTATAGTAAAATTTAATAAAAATATGGTTTTCTTAACCATAACTTATAGTAATTATCTTTCTGTTTATTATAGTTGATATAGTTAAAAAAAAATTTTTTTTCCTTAGTGAATTCATTATTCAGAAGCAGACATTGACCACGCATGAGTGCACATAAGCACGTACAATTCGAATGTCCACGTCGAAGCCATCTTAACGCCTATAAATACATTAACGAACGTGCTTGGTGCTTATGTCCCGAGTTTAATTATGCACGCATTTGCCTTGTAATTAGCACGGGCTGTTTGGTTACGCCGACCCGATACTCACGGAACTGTAACTCACGTGACCTGTTTGTGAGGTTTGAATTACGTAATACGGGCTGCTATCCACACACGCGAACACTGGAAATGACATGTCTATGATACATGACCGTAACGTATGTATCTTGCGTGCGGGGTTGGGGGGGAGGGATTACATATGTAAAGGTATTTATTTTCAATTAGTGCCACTTGATCGGCCCCATAAAACGCGGCGGTATCGTGGCGGCGTTTATTCGCGCGATGCTGAATATCCGCCTCGTTTTTAACATTCGCAAGATATAATGCAATATACCACGGATACATTAATTAACGATACGATAGGCACTTGATTACCTCGCGAGAGTCACGGAACCAACCCCCGCCGGTTTGCGGAAAAAAGTCGGGGCGCGATTGTTCGGGACGTTCATAAAATCGAGACGCGTAAATTTCAACGCGATTATCGCGGGAACAAAAATATGAATTGGTGCGTCTAACGCGTGCGCCACCACTGCTGTGAGTGAATTCCGCGTGTCAGTGATTTGACAGCGAACGTGTGTCGATGTGCATTCGGCAAAGTCAAGAGAAATGAACAGCGCCCTGAAATAATATCAGATAATTCGCGGCGGTTATTTGTCGGATTGTAAAACAGCTGGTAATGCACATTTAAAGATAATTCGGGACTTCAATTCCTTCTGCGCGAGAGAGCCCTCGAACGAGAGCGAGAGGCATATCGGCGATTACTCCGTTAAATGGCCCGGAAGTATTAAGTCGATCGTACGTACGACAAAGTGGATTATCGGTCTTCTTTAATTCGGTCCTTTAGAGACGACCCCGGCGGAAGTTGTCTGTGCCAAGCTTCCACGCCGGAAATTTTCAAAGATAATTTACGCAAATACCACACTCAAGAAAATATAATTTAATTCTCAACGAAATTCCTCTTACATACGTCTCCAGTAGGATTTTTCTAAAACCAGAGGGAAAATATTCTAATACTAAAAAAAGGAAACTCTAGTTGCAAAATATTTGCGGTAAAAAGGTATTCCTTTTCCAATGAAGCAAACTATTTATAGAGTCCACTAGATCTTATTCTAACTTTTTTTGAAACAAGAGGCATAAGCACTGAAAAAAATACTTAAAAATTTATTTGTGGGATATAAAGTTTACTTCTGTGTAAATAAAGTTTATTTCTATGTTAATAAATTTTATATCCTACACATACACGAACAAATTTTCAATTATCTTTCTCTCACTGTGTTTACTTGAAGCAGAATACCTTCTTACTAGAAGAAATTTCTATCAAGAACACGACTAATACTGTTAATGGAAGACGAAATTCCTCTTGAGAATATCCCGCTTAGAACATTCTTCTTTTAGTTTTAAAGAAATCCACTTGAGACTACATGTGAGAGGATTCCGCTAAAGATAAGATTATATATCTTTGGGTACACACAAAATCGCGCGACCTCTCAGAGTCCTGGAAATGGGAACTCGAAGTTGACGAAGGAACTTTCGAGATATTAGACGTG